AAAATATTAGGAACAGCCTCCAATCGCCTTGACCTTGACAAATGTTGCCCTGAACAATATTCAAAAGGATTCAGCCGTCGGTCAAACACCTTGGGTACCAATGTTAATGGCAACAATATTGTAACTTTAAAACCTTTTAACTCAAAAGATACTTAATGAAAAAATATTTTATTATAGTGTTTTGGAAAGCTCTCGAAGTAAGCTATAAGAATATATAATAAAAATGGAGGTTTCTTTTTAAGAAATTGAAGGTGACTTTCAAACGACTATCCAGAGTCAAGCCAATTGCACTATTTTATGTCCCCCTTCGAACCATACAACTTTTGTTTGAAATATTTTTCCGTATCTTTCATATTTTTCGAAATATTTGCTTGGTTCGATTAAAATGACTCACCTTGTATATATATAAATATATATATATATATATATATATATATATAGATATTATACAAAATATATATTTTGGTCGCAAGAAACGAGCTAGTTACCCAAGTAGGAATTTACTACTGGCATCAAAGTGGCCTAGTACCGATTTATAGTAAACTGGCATAGTACTAGATGTCAGTACGGGTTTAGTATTAGTATGATTGGGATAATAGAAAAGGGCCAGTATTGGAAAACAATACTGTTACAGTATCGAAAATCAGTACTGTACCAATATAAAAAAATGTATTGATTTCTAACACTGGAAACTACTGGAAACCAGTATCGATTTCTAGTAATTTTTATTATTTGTACAATTGTTAATATCACAACTATATAGTATGGAAAGAAAGATCAGACTATGGCTGAGTTGCTCTTCTCGTTTGTACCTATATATGTCTATTTTTAATAGTCATATGAGGAAAAAATCTTGTGGCAACGGCTGGAACCGAACTCGAGTCTTCCCGCTTGTCAAACAAGCGTTCTTACCACTGAGCTATTTAGGTTTCGTATTAGTAACTTCTTCCGTTTTCCTATAAAGGATATTGGTATCGTCTGTTTTTTTATACCGACACAATACTGGCCCAATATCCTCTATTGACAGATTGTATACGATTCTTATTTAGGTATCCAGTACTGATTCTACGAACAGGGCCAGTACCAATAATCCAGCTTTTTTAATATTGGGATAGTACCGAAAACGACAAACATTTTTCAATAACGCTCCAGTACACGTACGGTACGACTATTTAGTATCTAACCTTAGTACGGAGCCAGTACTAATAATACAGTTTTTTTATATTAGGTCCAGTACTGAGCCAATATCAAAAAGGGATATCCCTTTTGGGTATCGACCCAGTATAGGGCCATTTTTCCGTATTGACGAAACGTATACGATTCTTACTTGGATAGTTATTAACGTTTGAATTTCCTTTTCTCCCTCTGCCCAGTACATCCCACAATACTGATATACTTCCTAAATAAACATTCATGCTCATGTGCATGCAACTAAAGCATCGTTATTTCTAGCTTCACTTTTAGAAAGATAACGCATTTAATTGAAAAGTATGATACGCACACAAACGAATATGTTGCTACATAATGTTGGGCAATAATTATCTTTAAGTTCTCCTACACCTAACCGACGTATGAATTTTCAATAAAAGAAAAAATATTTACAGCTGTGACAAATGCATGCATCTCTAAATCGTGTAGTAGAACATTACAAGCGACAAGCTTCTTTAAGGTGTTATATAATTATTTTTATTGTAACATTTCTTAATTGTTCTTAATTGTAACATTTTAAATAGCGTACAATTAGATACTCTATCACTTATAAGCAAAGGAGAATATGGTGTGCGGAAGATCTTACGGTCTTGTCGCCCAGATTGCGAACTCGGCACGTGAGGTATACATTTTTTCCAATTAGGGCTGTCACGTTGGTGTTCTGCGAGAAGTCGAAAGTAGGTTCCGGTTTCGACTTCGGGCCGGAAGAATGATCCAGCAATTGTTGTCGAGGTCTGCTCTGCATCGCGTGTCTGTCCATGTTATCTATCGTCCGATCTCCTAGACTCAATGTGTCTGTAACGAGAGAAATTCACTGATTGAGTCGACTTCAAGATCGTAATATACGTCGAATAATTAATGTCATGCTGTACACAGAGAGAACAATTTGGTTGAGTTAAATAAACACTCTTTGGAATAGTCCAAATGAATTTTTTGGTTGATCGAACAAAATTTTATTTGACGCAACAAAAATATTTATTTGCTTAGTTTATTGACTTAGTTCCAAAGAAATATTTTTGTTGTATCAACCAAATAATTTGTTTTAACTATTCCAAAGAAACATTTATTTCGATCAATAAATCGTTCTCTCTATGTAGTGCACATAGAGTCATAATTGCCTGACCATCCCTTAGATTGCAAATAAACAATTTTTTACTTAATACTTAATATATGTGTATAGTTAAAAATTGTATAATTAATTATAGCCAAACAAATATAGCGTCAACTGTACGATATTTAATTCTTACACATATAAGCTTGATTGAAAATCATATAAATCGATTTAGAAGATAGCCATGTGTTTATGGCTTTTTGTGTACGTGATAATGCGAATAATATTTTTAACCAACTTAAAATATGCTAAGAGGAGATTCTCAGCTTATTCTGCATATACGTGGGAAAAATGCTGTTAGAAGAAATAAAAAATGCGTTTACTCAATTAAAAATCGATATCACAGGCTGCCACAAATACAAGGAGCTAATTCAACTGTATTTATTGTTGATTGCAATTGCAACATTTTCTCTCACACAACACATTTAAAGAACAATATACCATTATTGAACAAACATATTAACATATACATATTAGTATCATTACCCGGGTTTGTCCGAGTATTGTGAAAATCGGGTAATTCCATTCCTTTCTTGAAAAAATCCGAGAATATCTACCCTCAAAAAATGGTCTTACTGTTATAGTTAAAATTATCTAGATACGAGGAATTAGCTAAAACAGATAAATGACTATAGCATAAATTATGATTGCGATATAGCATATTTTTTGTATTTCATTAGTATAAATGACAAAAACAGAATTTATATTTGAATTATTTGTAAAATTTAGCACAAACGTTTCTCTGTAGTGCCCATACATATTAAAGCCAGTTACACTTCTTCTAAAAATAACTGTGATAGAAAAAAATAGCAAAAAATGAATGTATAATTCTCACATCCCTATCTAAATGCTGCTTACAGATATGAATAGAATACTATTATTGTAAGTTATACGTATCACAAACAATGTTCTAATAAATATAAGAAACAATAATAAATTTTAACATGGTGACATTTAGAATTTTGTCTGGAACAACAAAACATCTTTTGAGTGTAGAGAACAAGATGAAACTTGCTTTAAACCAATTAAAAAAATTTTTAATAAATAATTATAAAGAACGAAATAAAGAAGTAAAAAAGAAATTAAAACGGCTTTAAAAACTTCAAAAGTCCTGAAAGGTATAAAATAATTTTGATTCGATATTCCTATGTACTTAGAATCCTATTCTAATATCCTCTTAGAATCCTATTCTAACTAGATATTTGAAGGTAACGTAAAAAAGACAAATTAGATAAGCATAATTAACTATATATAACTGGGAGATAAATGATAAAAGATATGATTATTGACTCAATCACAGTAAAGTTTCCATGCCAGCTCCAATAAAATGTTCAGAATTAGAATATTAGAATATAATTATAGATACATAGGAATATCGATTTAAAATTATTTCAGATTTTCTTCAGATTTTGAAATTTTCGAAGGCGATTTATTTAAACCGAAATAATAGAAAGCTCCTCGAATAGATTAACTAACAATAAGATTTGAAAAGGCACATAAGGAGCAAGCACGAATGTCTTAGTGCTATTAAATACTAATATTACTTTTTAATATTAATATGATTGTGGGAGGATAAAATTGTCCAGTATGTTAAACGCACGTATCAAAATTTTTCTTCGATTATCGTGCGCGGAGAATCAACCTTCCATACTTAAACCGATCATTGAGTCCCAATTTTTATATATATTTTTTTATTAAAATCCCAAACCCCATTAAACCGATGACTCAAATAGATTCATTATATATGTTGCGACAAAACTGCCTCCGCCAGGACTCGAACCTGGAACCTCCTCACTTTCCGGGCGGGACGTCTTTCCATTCAGCCACCGAGGCTTCGATAGTAACCTCGCAACACAATGTTTATAAAGTCTTTAAGATGTAAGTTGAGAGAGAAAGAACGAAAGAGTCGATCTCGTAAGAGATGTTATTATACGAAAGAGAGATAGCATATTCTTCCTGCCAATGCTTAAGATAAACCGAAAATTAAAAAGTAAATTAAAAATATTAAAGTAATATTAAAAAGTAATATTAGTATTTAATAAGACATCCATGCTTGCTCCTTATGTGCCTTTTCAAATCTTACTGCGATTTATTCACTTTTCAAGTTTTAAACTCTTTCTGTCAATCGATTTGTACCTATATACTTGATAAAACTTGAAGTTTCAGTTTGTTGTTGTGTGTATTCGTGTCAATAAAAAGAAGAAAAATATTGAGATACGTTCACATTAAGATACGTTCAGTGATTATCGTTGATTGTGAAGCGTAAATTTGTACTAGGACGCAGATAATTCTACTTTCAGTTACCGACTAATCGATTAGCTTTCAAACGAATCCCGTAATCAGGCATGCAATTAATGAAATTTCCGGTTAATTGAAGTCTCTAATGGTAGCCATTAAACAAACAAGCGAGGAATAACAAAACTCTAAAGCACCATCGCCCATAAACGTTTATTACTCTCCAAAATACGCAATATTCCCGACTGTCTGTTTAATTCCGAACTAATCTCTCAAAGTTCCAGTAACAACTGACTCGATAACTTTGTATAACGTAAAAGTCGATTTTCTATCGATTTCGGCTATTTCAATATTACCAAATCAAACGCAACTAGGAACGGCCTGATACGGTGGCCGACGATCGAAGTATTCCTCGCTTACAGAAAGTAGTTGGCGTTTCACTCGACAATCGAGGCTTTTGATTCGGTCTATTCACTATTGTCGCCACTGTTCACACGCTCTTTTCTTGCATGACCAATACACATGTATGCGTAGTAATTTCTAACGTACGCTCGATGTTTCCTCTCCGAAAAATGCAGCTTTTTACGAGCATCTATATCGAACTAGAGGCAAAAAGTGCGGCCAAGTTTAGCCCCATTTTTTGTAAGTTTGAAAATGGTCATAATTTTGGTTTTTTTTAAAGCTTATTGCGAGTAGATTCCAAATATATAAGTATCAAAGTAGCGCTCCACACCGTTTCAGAGAAAAATGATCCAAAAGAGTTTCACTTCCGAGAGATGGCGTCATAGCGTCAATGCATTTAAAAATGAATAAAAAATGAGAAAAATAAGATATTTTATTGATTATTGTTAATTCTTATAGTAATATCGTAGATGTTTTTGTTCGAAATTACAAAACCATGGCTGTAACTATAGCTAAGATACCAAATGAAGGTACAGAGCGCCACCTTGATACTTATATATTTCAAATCTACTCACAATAAGCTTTCAGAAAATACAAAATTACAAAATTATGACCATTTTTAAACTTACAAAAAATAGGGCTAAATGCCTGTGACGGTTTGGCAGCATTCTTTATGTGAAAATTTTGGTCTTTAGATTGCTACTTGTCAATGCATGTACGCGATGCTATATTTATTTATAGTTAACCTTGATTTTATTTGCATTCGTGAAACTATTTCTCCTCTCTCCCAGTAAATACGAAACATTATATCTGCTTTTTGAAACATTGATATTATGTATATTATGTATATTATAATATTATGTAACATTTTATTGCTTAATATTTTATGAATTTTTTTAAAATGTTACATAAAAATTGCTTACATAAATATATTGCTTTTCAAATATATAAATAATATTTGATAAATATAAACAAAACATTTTTTAAATGTTATCGCTCAATAATCAAGAAATGATGAAAGTTACATTCCAAACAACATATAATATTTCAACATATATACATATATGTGATTATTCGAATTCTAAATTTATACTAGATATGCTACAGATATACATAATGTACTGATAGTATCCGTATATAATATCTTTTGTACATTACATCGTTTCTCGAATATTCTCAGGATATACTGAACTCGACAGCGGTATTCCATTTAATTGTTGAATATTATACATATATTCGGGAAGTAACATATGCTGGTTCTGCTAAAATAATTTAAATATTTTAATAATGAGAAAGATCAACATAAAATTTCTTATAATCAGTATAAATTGTTTTATATTTTGTGTCTTAAAACTAATTTATTGTTTTCATTAATCATTGGATTCAAATTTAATTTAAAATCTGAAAGCCATCACAACATCACTGATTCGCTAAAATACATTGTATCAATATTCGTCTCATATTGTTATTCCAACATTTACTAACAAATATTCCATTGTAATGTCTTTTGAACGATATAAGAGTATGTTATAAACATGATTCACCAAGATATTGTTAGAATTCATTAACAGTATCAGTTCCTGTTTGAGCATCGAGGTAAAGCGTCAAGAACGCCATTTAAGATTGGGTTCCATCAACGTCCTTAAACATCGATTAAATCTTAACCTGAGTTTAAGTCTTTGTCTGAGAACAGTTTAAACTCGGGTTAAGACTTAATTGACGGTGGTGTAATCAGGCATAAGAAGAGCATAAGTAACTTATACGGGATGAAACTACAGAGGGATACATTACTATGTAATGTGACAAATGCAATGACACAAAAAATGAAATAACAGATTCTTTTTACTTTTTAAGCAAATAGTTAGTTTAAATCATTGAAATGGAGAAATTTATTAATTTCTTACAGCAGACACACATTATTGGCATGCACTGTGGTAGTGAATACCAGAATGTCGTAAACGTAAAGGCAATGTTGCTTACGACATCATGATTACACATGTAATTTTAACAATTCCGAAATCTTTAGATCAGAGTTAAAGTTTACTCA